GAACGTTGTTAGAAAGCAGGAAAGAAGGTGAAAGGAGAACAATTTTCAGAGAAGAAAATTTTCCATCGCTCTCCGGGTTCGAACTCAGGACCTATTGAATGAGCGGCGAACACCGTAACCTCTCGATCACGAGAACCCCCTATATGTAGTTAAGATTTTTATTAATATTTGTCCAGACCGTAACGTCTCGATCACGAGAACCCCCTATATGTAGTTAAGATTTTTATTAATATTTGTCCAGACAAATAATATCGATACTAATTACCGCAAAAGTACTGCCACAAAGTGGATGTGATTTGTTGCCCTTTTAAGTATGTTTTCCCGAGAATGAATTCTTTATTGATTAATTGTTTGACCTCAGGGTGGATTATTTCGTTTGATCGCCTCAATGTGAACACGCCCCTCTCCCCGACAAAGAGGGTCGGTGGGATTGTCCATGGGCTATGTGGTGACTGATCAACCACAGGCGGAGCCAGAGCTTTTAATTATTTTTTTTTAATCGGAGTTGGTTTAGTCGAAGGTCCGTCCACCAACACTATGGCGGTCTACCGTAAGTCCCCCCCCCCCCAAAAAAAAAAAACAAAAAAACAAAACAAAACAAAAACAAAAACAAAAACAAAAAAAACAAAACAAAGGGAGCCGGTTGGAATGTCCATGCGGCAGTTCAGTAGGGCTATGTGGTGACTGATCAGTCCTGGGCCCAGCCAGAACTTTTGATTTTTTTTAATTTTCAAAAACAATCTGAGTTGGGTTAGTCGGAGGTCCGTCCACCCCAAGGAGGTTACAACTTCTAGTGTTGCTTAAGTCTCGACTGATTGACCACAGTAGCGGCTGCCCTGGGGGCATTCACATCAAAGGCGGAAGCGTTACACAATTGCGGTGCGAATGTATTAAACACATGGGGGGGGGGGGACTGCATATGGCTAAATAGGGTAGTTGCAGAGACATCGAACACTCGCTACTGCCAAAGATTCTCTACTACTACCAAGATGTTTCAATTGCCCTATCTCGTGTCCGGGCGAGACCTTGTGTTAGCGCTTAACGGCGCGTGACACGAGTGTTAAACGAACGTTTCAGCACTCTTGGTTGAAAGCGTGCAATTTTGTCTGAAACTGAAACGCTGGACCAGCCTGAAAAAGGAATATGCAAATAAGAAATGACCATTGAACAGTTTGTCAAGAGAATGAGTTTCAAATTGTTGCTGTAAAAATGTTTTATCTCAGCTCTCACTGATTCTCATCCTATTTTGATAATTGATATCCAACATAAAAGGATATTTATACAGATCTACCCTGTTTGAAGTCCTATTCCTACCTCCCCATAGTGAGCAAGGATTACTATGACATTGTACTTCACAA